ACTTCTGCTGGAAGAACGTAGCTCGGAGAACCTCAGCAGCAATGATGAAACTCTTTGGCATCAGACTCACAACTTCTTGGCAAGAGGCTGACCAGTCTGAAATTCACTCCTAAAATCCATCAGAATCCAGTTGAAGCTCAGTCTTCCTTCAGCTGCACTTCCTTCAGCTCCTCTTTTCCATGCAGCCAAACGAATCCAGCCTCACCATCCACCAGTCAAGAAAGGAGGAATATAGCTTAGGGAAGGCTGGGGCACCAAAAGGGAGCAAATGGCCAAGTAGGCCAAGGAAATCCAAAATTCCTGCCTAATTTAAGCCCTGCTTTCTTGCCTGGAAGGGCACAAAACCCCTGCTGAGTTGCCAAGTTCCCCAACACAACGCTTGCAGGACTATGAATGGTCACATCATCCCACCCTGTGCACTTGGCTATAGATACTTGATGCCTACAGGTGTCCCTTGCTGGCCTGGGGAAACCTGTCAACAGAATTTTTAGGGCCAGAAAGTCTGTTCCTTACATCAAACGTTGGTTAGTTAATATTAAAGCTGTGCACAAGCCCCATCAGTGATGCTGCTGACAGCACTTCAAACACCTCCAGCCCTGCAGAAAGCTCAGAAAACAAAACTCACCTTCTCTCAGGTGCAGCTGGAAATAGGGGGGGTGGTGTAGCATCTTCTGTTGCATTTCTAGGCTTTGCTGTTTAAAATTTTAAATCCATTATTACAAACCCAGCAGGAGGATTTGACTTTTATGGAGAGTGAAGTTCTCTCCTCTGAAAAAAACACCCATCTCTTTGCTGAGAAATTTTCACTGGCTGTCGTTCACTAGCAGGAGACTCACGCTGAGAAAGATGAGGCAGAACTGCTCAGAACTGCAAGAAAAAGGAAGAAAAATCAGCAAAGCTTTTACCATGAAGCTTTTTCTGGGAAAATGTTCCCTTGTATGACACGGGAGCACACACAAAGACACCAAAATATACACAAAAATATTTTGGCTTGCAAGAATGAACTTAAACTTTGGTTTGGATTCACCTTATCATGGAAGTCCAATATACAGGGGAGAAAAAAAAGTCTTTAAATAAAGAAACTCTTAGGAGGAAACCCCATTGCTGAGACCACGTGAAGCACTCTCCAGGTCTACGTGTGAAGAAGTTTTGCAAACACAACCACTTGGCAAGGAGCCTTGGAAAAACAACAGACCCAGAAGTATTTTGGCAAAACCCACAGCGTAGGTGCAGCTGTATGGACGTCAGCAAGGGGCCCCATGGGAGCACTGAGCCTCCTGACTGGTTAAACCTCTGCAGGGAACCAACCCAGAGAGTAATTAAAACAATTCAAGGGCAAGGATGGTGAGTGAGCCCAAAGCAGGGTGTGAAAAACAGGCAGTTTTGTAGCTCTGGGATGAAGGTTGTGCCTCAGGTAGGAAACTCCTTGCATTAACTGGAGGTAGGTAGAGGAGGAATCAAGGTTGAAGGAGAATAATTTGCCTTGTGAGTTGCAATAGGACAAGAGGAAACAGCCTCATGTTGTACCATGGGAGGTTTAGGTTGGACCTGAGGAAGAAAGTCTTCTCCAAAAGGGTTGTCAAGCCCAGGGAAAGTGTGGAGTCCACATCCCTGTAGATGTGGTGCTGAGGGTTTAGTGGGGACCTGGCAGTGTTGGGTAATGGTTGGGCTTGATGATCTTAAAGGTCTCTTCCAACCAAAAAGATTCTATGAAATCCAGAGGGGAGATCTCATAGAGTAAGGAGGGTTTGGGGATGGAGTTTTAGGAGGCTGCCTGTGCCTCAGCAACTGTCAATACCCCATCAAGCCAACATTGCCTGAGGAAAGGTACTGGAAACATCAGATTTGAGTGTAGATGATGTAACTGGGCAAAATGGTACAACTGTAAATTAATGCTATCTATTAATTTTATATCTATCATTGGGTTACTTAATAGCATGTTGTGCAATCAAGAGATGTTGCTGTCTACTAAATGAGTTATGACTCAATACTGACCACAAGCTGAAAGGGGAGTGGTAACAAAAAAAACCCCAAATCCCTCTTTATTGCCATCCTTTCTCCATGAAGCTGGTACTGGCTGTGGGGGAGAAGCAGGAGAGGCAGGTGGAATAAGCTGCTTGAGGGTGGGGTTGTGAGAATTGCTGGTGGAGTTGTATCAGCAGTCTTGTATCAGCCAGCCCAAGGAGTTACAGACACTGATTTATCTGCCCTAGTCTGTGTCTTTACCCTTCTCAACTCTATTAGAGCTATAATCATCTTCTTGATGAGGAACAAGAGGCCTTTTCAGTCTTTAATACAGCAGAAGCATCCAAACAAGGTGAAGAGTGCTCTAAATGTATGAAGCCACTGCCTCTCTTTATGTAAATATCTTTCTTTACAGGCATTGAAAATCTTAGAAAGGTTTAGGCTGGAAAAAACCTTTAAGATCGAGTCCAGCCACTATATTTTTGAGCTTCTCACCTTCATGGTCAAAACCTTCAACCAGGGAGATAAAGAAACATTTGTTGGCCAGCTAAGCACCCTGCCAAAACAGAATTCCCACTGCTTGGTTGAGATGCAGTTTCTCATCCCACAGGCTTTGGCTGTTTGAAGGGAAAGCAGCTCTTGGAACAGATGGAGTTGGTAATAAAGCTCCTGCAAGATGCAAGGATTACACAGGGAATGAGATGGTGAAACAGTGCCTGGAGGAGGAGTTGTAAACTTGAACATCTCGGGGTAAAATTCCCTTCCCACCGAGAGCTACGTGGTGGGACCAAGTGGAAGTGGCAACACTGCTTTCCAAACCACGAGGCATCCTGGTTGTGTGTCCCCAAACACACTGGCTACCCTCAAACTACTGGAGACACGTTCCAACCTCACGCCCCTCAAAATCATCTTGTGATTTGGCATTTTGAGTCAGCGGCAGGAGCACTGCCAAAAAAACAACAAACCACCACCAAAAAAAAAACCTCAGATGTCTCAAAAGAGCAAGAGAGAGTCTGAGCAGCAGATGGGGGAATGGTGGAAGCACTTGCTGGGTGTAGTGGAGCTCCTGAGCTCCCCCACATCTTCCCAGCTTCCAATGATTTCATCCTAGGAGCAGTCCTGAACCTAATTTGGTTCATTTTGTGATCCCTCTTTGAAGCATTTGCCCTTTTATTTGTTGTTACTGAGCAACATTTTAAATGAAGGACCATGGTGAGGTCATTCCTACAAGAAAAACACAATCCAGAGGTTCTGTTCTCACAGTCCTGAAGAACTTGGCATTTTGTGATAAATGTCTACATCCAATTTTCACTGTCTTTGGAGGCCTTTGTAGGGAGGGACTTCTACTTCACCTGCCTCTAGTTTAAATGTCTGACAGTGACCACAGACCTCCCTCCTTACCATCCCCTTGGCAACCCTGCTTCATTTAGTCTTTGGAGACCTTTGTGGGAAGGGACTTCTACTTTACGTGCCTCTAGTTTAGATGTCTTACAATGACCACAGACCTCCCTCCTTGCCATCCCCTTGGCAACCCTGCTTCATTTCATCACCTATCGACTGGGTACAACCAAAATCCAGTCCAACCAGACAGATGTGTCACCCCAATCTCTCCACCTGACTCATCCATGCTCCATGCCTGAGGACAGTTACCTGGATTCTCACCCTACCTGTAGACATCTGATGGACCATTCTGACAGCATCCAAAACCACAAAGCAGGTCTGAACCTCAATATCCAAAGGCCTCTTGGACTGTGCCAAATTGGCTTTTCAATTTAATATATCAGGGTTGAAATGTTGGCCCCTTCCTTAATACATGGGATTCCTTTTATTACCTTTGCTCAGGCCAGGATTGTGCCTGAGGAGCAGCTCTGCTGGTTAGCATTATTTCCTAATTATCCTTTTAGTTGCTCTCCTGCTTGCTCAAGTCCATTGGCTTTCTCTTCTTCAGCTTCACTTAGTGGTGGAGCAAATGACACTCAAAGCCTTCAGAGCAAGCAAGGCTGAGATGGCCAAAGTGATCTTTTTATTCTGCTCTCAGGCTACAGAGCCAATTTCTCACCATCTTCAGCTCAAAGACTATTGCAGATATTTGCTTTAGGGTTGAATTCAGCTTGTAGGGTTTTTTTTCCAGTTGATGCTCTGTCCAGGAAAGACCTTTTTGGCAACTGGAGCTTGAAATTCTATTCCAACCCTGGATCTTAAGCAGAATTGGAGAAGTTTAGGGAGGGTTGCTGCACCTCCAGTACTTTCCTTCCTCATCAGTCCCTGCAGTCTGCAACAGTCACTGATATTTCCATAAAACACAGCTTTAAAATAAAAACCCTGGTGCAAATAAGTGCACGGTATCACTAGTGAGCAGTTAAATAACCAGGAGGACAGAAGGAGAAATAATTTAAGTCTAGATTTACCTGATTGGGTGTGCTGTTCAATAGCAGATTGCTAAGAACTGTGGAACAAAATGAACGTAAATGGGGGATTTAGCAGAGTCAGGTAGAAAGGATTCACTCCTAAATGTTTCCAGGCTTGCTTATTTGGTGTCAGCTCCATCAGACACTTCTCCCTTCCCTCCAGCAGACAGATTTGGAACCAAGAACAACACAGAAACCAAACTGCCCACCTTGCAAAACTCAGTCTGACTTGCTGTGATTAAGACGGGGTGATTTGGGATCATGATATTTTGCAGGCAGAAGGGCTCCCTAAGCCTCTGTGAAGCCTCGACTCAAATTCTTGGATTTGAAGAGAAAAAAAAACCTGCACAGTTTGCTGCCCTGCTCCAGCAGCCGTGCAGGGAGTAGGTGCAATTAGCTCATTTGTCATTAGTTTAAGGAGAAAGCAGAAGTCTAAGCACACGGAAATAACCACCTCCAACTCTGATTAGCCTCTTGTTCCTAGCAGGGTGCAGCCAGGGAAGGCTGTGCTGCCTCACTTCACCCTTCCTCAGGCACAGATGGAGTAACTCCTGGAGAAAAGAAGGAATATCTCCCTCCTCTGGGTGGGCAAGAGGCAGAGAATTCACCCAGCAAACCACCAGCAGCATGAAGCCATCAAACACCCTCATCCTCCTCTCAGCCCTGCTTTACATCGACGCCAGCACGGAGTGGCCAACACACACTGTCTGCAAAGAGGACAAGCTGGAAATACATTACAAAAGCTGTGGTGAGAGAGGTTTTTTTCATGTTTCTATGTTCCTTTTAGCTGGGTGAGAGTTGTTCTTCAAAAAAAAGTGGTTTCTAAGTCAGGTGATGGATGGGGGGTCACCCTCTCACGCCAGAGGTGGGTTTTGCAGCTGGAATAGTTTTAGTCTTTCAAATAGAGCTGGTTTGATTAACACCAGCTCTAACAAATCTAACTAGATTGAGGTAGAAAATATGAAAAGGAAATCATTTAACCTACTTCAGAACAAGCTTTCAAATAGAGCTGGTTTGATTAACACCAGCTCTAACAAATCTAACTAGATTGAGATAGAAAATATGAAATCATTTAACCTACTTCAGAACAAGAAACAGCTGCAAAAATCCAGAGCAGCATGAAAGGGATGAGTAGGACGTTGACCTTGGAGTTAGTGAAGAGAGAAGAAGACTCCAGATCTTTCTCTGTTATACCCCTGGGATGACACAGACTCTTCAATGCACTCCTCTGCTGGCTTTCTAACGTGCAGCCAGGCTGGGTGATGTGCTTTCTGTCCTCCCTCTGGGAGTGAGGAGGGACCCAGAGTGGCAATGGGAAGGATTCCTCTTCTCCACCACTGCCACCGTGCTCACCAAACCTTCAGAGGCACTTCAAGGGACCACAGGGGTTGGTTTGTTCTTTAAATCTGTAGAGAAGAAAAGGAGCAAGTGGCACTGGAATGACAGAAAATGAGTGGTGCCTGCTCCCACCTCTTGCTCTGCTGGCCTTGTGCCTCTCCTCTTGATTCCCTGAGTGGTGCCTGGTCCCACCTCTTTCTCTGCTGGCCTTGTGCCTCTCCTCTTGTGCTGATCCACTCCCCAACGAGGACAAAGGGAATTGGATTCACAGGCACCTCATTCATTTCCCCACATGTGATGTGAGGAGCAATTCATGGCAAACCAGCACCCTGGAGTTTGTTTTTTCCAATTCAGCCTGACACAAAGGGTTTCCCAGGGGGGTTTTCCCCCCCTGGAGCTTTCCTGCAGCTTTGCACACCCTTTAAAACAGAGCCAGTGAGGGACAAGGGAAGTAAATAAATATTTGCAGTGCTATTCTTTACTGGCCTGCTCCCAAGAGACTCAAGTCAGGCTCCACATATTATAAATGGGCACACTGCATTAGCAAAATGTTTAATTAGATATTGAATAGGAGCTTTGGGATCACATTTTAGCAAGAATCCTGTTCCCTCAACAGGTCTCAGTTAGCAGGAGGTGCCTCGACAGTTTGAGTCCAGCCAAATGCTGATGAAATTGGGCTCTTGGGTACGTGTCAGGCAGGGATTGCCTCTCACCAGCAGCCTAATAAAATTGTGGAGAGCTTCTGTGTCACTTGGTTGGGCCTGCCACACACAGAAAGGTGAGGGGCAAGTTCATGCAGGGGGAACTCTCAGCTCCAGAAGCACAAGGCAGAGATCAAACAGGTCAGGTCTCAACACTGAGAGGGATTTTCTGTCCTCCTATGAAGATGAGAAGATTATACAGAGAGGGAAACAACACCAGAATTAAGTTAGATGCCTTGTTTGGAGCCTGATACCTCAGCTCCCTGAAATCTCTGGCAGATGCAGTGGTGGCAGCACTGGCAGCTGCCGTCCCCACACTCTTCTGTCACAACGTTCTGCGCTGCCTTTCTCCAGAGGCTGCCACAGCTGCAGCACCAGGCTGGGATGCACCATCTGCATCCCTGCTGATCCAGCTCATGCTCTGGGAACTTGCCTGAAGCAGAAGAATGTAAAGTGGTGTGGGCTGAACCTAAAAATCATGGGATTGTTTGGGTTAGAAGAGACCTTCAAGATCATCAAGGCCAATTGTTTACCCAGCAGGGCCAGGGCCCCGCTGCCCCATGTCCCTCACCCCACATCTCCACGGCTTGGGAACCCCTCCAGGGGTGGGGACTCCACCACTGCCCTGGGCAGCCTGGCACAGCCCTGGGCAACCCTCCAGGGCAAGAAATTGTTCCTCATGTCCAACCTCAGCCACTCCTGGTGCAGCTTGAGGCTGTTTCCTCTTCTCGTGGTGCTTGTTCTTTGGGAGCAGAGCCCGACCCCTCCCTGGCTCCAGGCTCCTGTCAGGAGCTGTGCAGAGCCAGAAGGTCTCCCCTGAGCCTCCTTTGCTCCCCTGTGGTCATCCCCAGCTCCAAATCTATGAGTGGGGAGGATAAATCCAAATACTGTTTGCTTCTGAGAAGGTGCTGCTCTTACAGAGGTCACCAGCAAGTTCACAGTGGTGCCAAAGGTGCTGACCACCCCTTCATTAGAAGGGAAATTTTGTCCCCACCCCATTTCTCTGGAAACCACAACTAGAGGGGCAGGATGTAGCTTTGTTCTTTAGTATCTCCCACCAGAACAGACAATGCTCATGCCCACGTTTGACAAGACCCTTTCCACAAACCTCATGATAATTTTAGCCATGTACATCACATCTTGATGTCTGGAGCTGAGCAATCAACAGATGAAGAGAGTTCAAGTCTGGGCCTTTCAAAAGGAGCTAAGCATTCATTTTTACTTTCCAGTTCATCAGTTCCTCTCCTATAATGCAGTGAAAATCTGACTAAAGCCAAAAATAGAAGCTAATAGAGCTGTGATAAATGTAGCAAAGAGGCTTATGGGGATAATTGAATACAAAGCATAGCAAGACTTCAGTCTTGTGCCTTGGACCACGTCCCAATTTCCTGCATCCTGCCCCCAGAATGCAGAAGATGCAGACATGCCTCAAGCCCCAGCCTCACTCCATGTTCTGGATCCTACAGGAAGGATTCTCATTGCCACCCAGTCCCATCAGACTAATCATTCAGTAATCAGGACCCCAAACCAGCCATCAAAAAAAGCTCTTAGTCAAGATCCTGCCCTAGATGACCCTGGTAAAAAAAATTCAGCAGAGGGGTGGGATGAGATGATCTCCAGAGGTCCCTTCCAACCCATCCCATTCTGGGATACAATAAAATACACTTGTTTAAAAAAAAAAATTAAAGAAATCAGACAAATCTCAGCAGCAAGCTCATGGTGAGAAACTCAGGCTGAGGCATGGGTGGTGTAAAAGTAAAGTAAATAAACATCATGCTGCCTCCTCTATCCAACCACAGGAGACACAAGAGCCAGACAGCCTATAAATAGCAAGACATTTCCCATCAGTGCCACTCTTCCTCCTCCCAGGAAGCAGTGACAAAAACAAAGGAAGATCTCAGATGCCCACAAATCACTTCAGAAACCTGGCCAGGCATCCTGAGAGAAAAGCAACACAGGTTAACATCACTGACTGAGAAAAGAGACCCCCTAATTGGCAAGTCTATGCAGGGAGGTGAAAAGAACCTGCTGCACAAGGGGCTGA